CATGGTATCTCTATTTTGAGTTTTTTGAGGAACCTCCATATGACTTTCCACAATGGTTGAACTAATTTACATTCCCACCAGCAGTGTAGGACTGTTCCTCTTTCTCCCCATCCTTGCCAGCATTTGTTGTTCCTAATCTTTTGATGTTGGCCATTCTAACTGGTATGAGGTGAATACTTTATTGTGGTTTTAATTTGTATTTCCCTGATAATTAACAATGTGGAGCATCTTTTCATGTGCCTGATTGCCATCTGAATTTCTTCTTTGGAGAAGTGTCTGTTCATATCTTCCGCCTATTTTTTAAAAGGGTATTTGCTTTTTGGGTGTTGAGGTGTGTGAGTCATGTATTTTGGATGTTAACCCCTTGTCAGATATGTCATTTACAAATATATTCTCCCATACTGTAGGATGCATTTTTGTTCTGCTGATGGTATCCTTTGCTGTACAGAAGCTTTTTAACATGATGTAGTCCCATTTTTTCATTTTTTATTTTGTTTCCCTTGCCTGAGGAGATGAGTTCAGGAAAAAGTTGCTCATGTTTATATTCAAGAGATTTTTGCCTATGTTTTCTTCTTAAGAGTTTTATGGTTTCATGACTTACATTCAGGTCTTTGATCCATTTTGAGTTTGCTTTTGTGTATGGGATTAGACAACAATCCAGGTTCATTCTCTTGCATGTAGCTGTCCAGTTTTGCCAACATACTGAGAATTTTTTTGCTGTTGTTTTGTTCTTTAACTTTTAGTATCACCAAACCTTTGCTTCAAGTATTTCCTCACAGATCTGCAGTCCTAGGCAACTGTCAATTTCTCACATTAATATTTGGGATGCCTAGTACTTCCTGACTGATCAATGTTATATAAATGAATGAATGAACTTACATTTTTCAGAACTGGGAACTGTACCTATTCTAGGCCTTGCCTGAAATACCTGTGGTGAATGTTTTAAACCTGGATTAAGGTATCTGGTCTGACGGTTTTAGGTCTGTTAGTCATTCAGTGAATTGATCATTTACCAAATTATTTCTGGCTAAACAATTTTCAGTAAATTTAACCACAGCTCAAATAAAACAAAGTTACCTTCTTTTTAAAAAAACACCTTTCTATTTGTAAGTGTACTTTCAGAATCCTTTATTTCCTGGTAATTAGTTTATAAAAAGACTTTTGGAATATCATACATAAAGACAGCGATGATATAAAAGCACAAGTGAGACTTGAGCACACATCCTCTTAAGACCTGAACATGGGCCGGTGGACAGGGGGCTCTGGCTGTCAGTGAGACAGGAAGTCCAGTTACTTAGACAGCTCAGTGTCCACAAGGCACAGTGAACACAGACCAGGTGCTCATGAGACGTTCAGCTATACTTTGGAGTATCATTTATGAAGAGTAACGGGAGTGTTGAAATAGAAACTCATATTTAAATAAAATTTCATAATCTCACTTAAAAAATTCTGAATAATGGAAACATTCTAAAATCAATTCATTTGAGGTAATTTTTTTAATCTTGAAATACTTGAAAGCAATAAATTTATTTGCCATTTTCCTCAAGTATTTCTCCATGTTCTATCTTAACTTCGTTCAGGAAGAAAACTTTACTACTCTTTCCCTTTTCCATGTTACTGAGAGGCCACTTGAGACCTGCCTGGTCTCCAGTCGGGCTTCTCTCCCTCACATGCAGGCAGTCCTCTCCAAGAAAAGAGCCTCATTATTTACCTGCTTTTCTAGCTCTAATTCTCAGGCCCTAATTCAGACCATCTTTATTTTGTTAAGTGGACATTTGAGACAACTTTCTGTCCCGACCTCTGCATCCTTTTTCAGACTCATCACATACTCAAGGTGAGGTTCTGGGATCGCCTGAGTCAGAGTGACCTGAGTCTGAGGTCCCAGTTAGAGATGCTTGTCCTTTGAGGAGAGGACGCTCTCCAACTTAAACGCTGTAGAGAATGTGCCTGTATAGAGTAGGTGACTCAAGTGTCTTAAGTAGCGGAAACTGTCTTTATGATGACGCACTACAGCCTAATAGTATACTGGTATGTGTTACAGTGTAGAGTGAATTTTACTCATTTACTATGATTATTTCATTCAGTCTGAAAAACATAAACCTTTTTTTTTTCTTCTCTCTCACCATAGTATTTATAGAAATGAATGTGTTACTGCTAATGATTTAAATTAGTAACTGTAGAAGAACTATAATGGTATAAAAGGCTTGATCTGTCCCCATCTCTATCTTCATAGTCATCTTTTTTCTCTTTATCCTGTTTCTTTTAAATCTTAAGAAAGATTATTTTCAGGAACCATTTACTATCTTAGTCTTAGAAATTAAAAAAAGAATAAACTCCTTTTTATGCATGATTTCTGAATGATGAAAAAGCATAGGAATCAAATGATATAAATTGTATTTGCTTTTTCTAAGGAAAAGTTTACTGAGAAAAATACTTTTTTTCCTCACCCACAATTGTTTGGACTGTTCAGTGAATTAAACTTTTAATACAAACTTGAGATTTTCCTAACAATCCAGTTCTCATTTTATGAAATCCTGGAGTTAGAAGGTAGCCCAATACATGAAACGACTTTAGAAAGCTTTATTTATAAATGCCAAAAGCAAAAATGTAAATGATGTCATTTGTCAGGTGAATTTTGGACATCAACATAACCTGTTCCTTTTTGGACACAGGTATATTTTCCTAACTGAGTAAAATATAACTATTAAATATTATAACTGGATTTAAAAAAAAGATTGATTGAACCCTTGAAATTCAATCAAAAGCTCCCCATGCTGGTGAACATAAAGCTGTTCTGCTGGCTTCCTTCTTAGAGTTTTATGGTGTAAAAATGCAGTTAGTACAACTGCTGATCCTACTGACTTCATTTGAAATCTCAGCAAAAATTCTGTCCTCAGAATTAATATTTAAAATGGGAATTACTGAAAAGATTTAGTATAGATAAATTTTTTGACATGTAGACACTGAGTATATGCATTGGTTGTTTCCGTAACCCTGCTATAGCGTCATCTTGACTGTGCTTTCATGCCTGAATATTGTGATCAGTGTCAAGTATAAAAATGTCTTTGTAATAGCAGTGAAGTACATGTAGTGGCTAAGACCCCAGGTTTTAGAGAGAGACAGTCCTGGGTTCAAATCACACATTTCTGTTCCTTATTGCCAGTGTACCTCAGGAAATGATTTAACCTCACTGGGCCTGTGATTCCCTCAATGGTAATATAGGGACAGTAAAACCCACCTTCCTAGGTAAAATGATTATGAAGATTAAAGTAAGCAGTGCATTCAAAATGCCTCTGACAAAGCACCATGCTTGGACTGTGGGGTGTAACTGTGATCCATGATGGGGGCAAGAGCAGTGCTTGTGTCCATGGCACCCACTGTGTGAGGTCATAATAGGCCATGATTCTGAGCCTGGCACCACAGCATAAAGGGCAGTCAGGACTGCTGGCTCTGGCTGCAGAAGTGCCCAGAGTGGTTGAGGTTGAATCCTGCTTTGATATTCTTTGAAGGAATAAGAAACATTTAAAAATTTTTCTTAACCTTCACAGCAAAGGAATTATCTGTCAAAAAAGAAGTATAAGGTAATGTAAAATTGTTTTAGAAAGGTTATTTTGAAAGGATGCTTTTCCTATGTCTGGGGACATACTACTTTGGACTCTAAATAAGGTCATGTAACAGTGTATTTGATTTGATTGCCTTACAGAGGACAACCAGCTCTTGATTATTACCTATGCACTAAGCAGGCTTATTCCTGTAATACACTAGCCTTATGCTGGTGTATGTGTTTCCATGAGGAGACTTAAAGTGGGAAATCTGAAATATCACAAAAGTAGACAAAATAATGTACATCATGTACCTATCATCAGCTTTAGAAATTATCATATGAACAATATTGTTTTACATATATTCCCATCTACTTCTCTTCCATAATTTGATGAAGCAAATCTTAGACATTGTGCTTTATCTGTAAGTGTATCTAAAAGATAAGAATTCTTGTTTTCTACAAAAGTATCAGAATACCAAGAATACTATTATCATAATTTAAAATGATAATTTCTTGATATCATCAAATATCAGACATTGTTCAAAATTTTCATTAAGTTCTTAATTGTCAGAATTTCCTGGACAGTTTATCTATTTGAATCAAAATCTAGGTAAGATCCAAACATTGGGCATGTTTGATACATCCCTTAAGGCCCCTTTAATCTTCCCACAGTGTTTTCACTTCTTGAAATTTATTTGTTGAATAAACTAGGTAATTTGTGGGATTTCCTTCAGACTGGATTTTGCCGTGTAGTTTAATATACACAGCAAATAAAATTTTCCCATTGTTGTTAAGTTATAGTGATTTAATCTAGAGGCTTAATCATTTCCAGGTTTGGTTTTTTTGGGAGGGGGAGGATTAGTTTATAGGTGATGAAGTGAACCTCCATCAAGAGGCTGTCGGTCCAGTTGTCTCCCTTTTTTGGTGATTGGCAACCATTCAAATGTAATGCTTAGGTCCATTAATTCATCAGATATTGCAAAATGCTAATAGTCTGACTCTTACTTTCCTTCTTGATTTTATTAGCTGTGTTTTTTCTGTAAAGAGAATCTTTTGTTTGTTATTTGGATAGCTTCATGTTTGGTTGACCTGATGCTCCTGAGAGCAATCCACAGAGGTGTCATCACTCAACTGATCTTTCCAAATACCTGCCAACTTGACAGTCATTATGGTTCAGAAATGGTGATTAAGATATATGTCTTTATATGTTTATAGGTACAGGTATATATCTGTCAGTGTATTTAAAGTTGAAATCATTAAAGTAAGAATACCAAATATATACCAAAAGCCATGAACAATTATAAATGTAACTTGAATTAGAAACTAAAATTTCTAAAGGTTACAACAGCTTTATAAAAATTAATATGTGCAGGTTTACCTAGAATTTTCTGACATATTGATCACTTGTGTTTATTTTGTTCATAATATTTTATTTCTATAAAATGTTAATTAAAAGGGAATGCAGTGGTGTCCTTTGAAAGAAGAGGATGCCATTCCCCGTGTGAGGGCAATGGACGCTCATGGAGGAAGACCACCGGATCCAGAGGGAGAGCGACCAGGAGAGGGTACCAGCGTGAGCCAGCGCAGCGGTCGGCCTCCTGATGTGGGCGGTGCTGAATCTGTAGGTAACACAGATGCCAAATTGCTAAGACAACTGCAAGCTCAAGGTAGGGAACATGCATCCATCACTGTAAGAACTGTACTAAAATGTGTTCATTATTTCTACATGTATTTGACATAGGAATGATTGATAACTACTCTCAGTTTCTAAAAGGTAGGTAATTGTGTTCAAATAAAATGAGAAAATAAGGAGTCCCACTGGTAACTGGAGTTCTTTGATTTAATAAGCGCCTTTCAAGAGTCATACTCGTAAACACATCATACCCTGTGTGTTTAGAATTACAAAGGTAGGTGATGAACTTTTCAGGCTGGAAACTCATTTGAACAGCTCCCAATTCCTTGTGGTGGTACAAGGGAGTAACTCCAAAATATGTGGATCTGTGGAGTAAATTTTCAGTCAGAGAACTCCAATTAGTGGTAAGTTTTAGTTTGGGTTCTTCTGTAGCCTGGATATATAACATTTATTTTCAAAATGCCCAACTAATAAACTTAGATCAAAAAGTATCTTAAGATCACTAGAAAGTATCATTTATCAAGTACAACGTGCTCAAAGTAACCTCAAATGTGTTCATGATTCAAAATTATCATGAATTATCAACATGAAGTTCCCATGCTATGTCTCACACAGAGAATGCTGACTAAAATAAAATAGTTCTGCTATGAAGTTTGAATTAAGTAGTTACAAGTGTGAAGCCTCTTAAGGCTGTCTCGATATATATATCAATGTGTTCATGTCTTATATTCATAAGCATATATATATAAATGTATATCAATACATGCTTGTATCATAAACATAATATCAATAAAGGTTTACTAATAAAAACTGACTTAAAAGACTGACAGGATTTTACTACTTCTCATAGTTTTTTTTTTTTCAGGAGGGAAAGCTTGACTGACTTCTATTTATTGTATACACCATTATAATACTGACTTCTCTGTAGCTCTGTTTTCATTATAAAACAAGTATGCATGATAAAAGCTCATAGAGCATAATGCTTTAAAATAAGACATTGACTCTCACTGACTTTAAAATAAAAGACACTCACAAGTTGGATCATAATTAACAGGTTTTTGGTAGTCTATCCAGAAGTGTGTACATACAGTCACAGACACACATTCAAACACATACTTATGTGTACACATGCATATGTGATGTTCATATATGTATATGTTCTTTTTATTTCTAAAATAAATGAACTTACTGGTATATATACCATTCAGCTTTGTTTTTTCCACTTAATTTTCTTGAGCATCTTTCTATATAGCACTTAAAAATCAACCTTACACTTCCAGTGGCTGAATATTAGGTGATGCCATGTATGGCTCTACCGTACTTCATTTACTCAGTCTTCTTTGATGATTGTTGCAGCTATTTCCTGATCTTTGCTATTGCAAACAATGCTGCAATAAAAACATTACACATATCTTCATTCTTTGACAGGTATGGCTATCCACAGTATAAAATTTTAGAGATAGAATCTCTACTCCAAGGGTATGTGCATTTTCAATTTTGGTAGAAAGCAGGCAAATATTGTCTCCAAAGAGGTTGTTCCAATTCATACTTCCACCAGTGGCATATAAGTTAACTGCCTGGCCTGTAACTTAATGTCCTGTAAGTTTTTCTCTCCTTTAGTATGTTAATTTAGTACTTTTTGTGTTATTTCATTGGGTTACTATTAAGACTTTAATCTCTCCTAAATAGTTACTAGAGAAGGTTTAAAAAATGTTAATATATGAAGATATATACATACATGATGAATTTTTAAAATTAGTATTGTCAATAAACCACTGACTTTTCTGAAGAATGTATAATAGTGGGAAGTGTGCATTTTTTACATAAAATAGGAAAGCTTGAAATTAACTGATAACCAAAGCAAGGGATTTTCATGCCTGTTTTGCATGTCTATCACAAGTACCATTCATACTTAGTATTCAAAATGGCAACTTCATATTTGCAAAATTAACTAAATTTTATTTTAACAAAATAGAAGGTAATTACTCAACTTTTGCCCAGTGTTTTCTCCCCTTTTAGATTTCAAATTGGTTTGTATTCTATGACGTAGCTCTCCCTTGTATTATATTGCATTTTGTAAATTGTTACCTTTGACCTATGTACATGTTTTTTTCTCAACATATATATAAATATTAAAAAGTCAATGTAAGTAAATGTTATTAATATTTACAAGTATGTTTGGTATAATATGCATGTTCTTTCTTGGGAAGGAAAGAAAGTAGAAATGAGTCACCTTATCACCCCTTTTATTCTAAAAGACTTCTACATTAACACTTTGGGGTGTTGTCAGTGCAGATTCTAGAAGTTTCTGTCATATTTTATTATCCTAGTTGGACTCATCTAGGCTTGTAAAACGACTTAATTTGAAGGAAGGTCTAGAACAATAAAATAAATGTGGATTTTGAATGTGAAATGAGAGCTCTGTATCTTCTCAGAGAATATAGATAAGAATCTGACAGTTTGAATATAAAAAAGACTTTCAAACTGTATAAACAAACTAGCTTGTTAATTGACCAATACTGTTAATATCTGAAATGCTCTAATATATCTAATAATATACCAGTCAATTTTATTGATCATAGAATCTGGAATGCCATTGCTGTACAATGCTTCATTGTTTTAAGATAGGCCACTGCAGAAGGAAAGGGCTGCCAATTGTTAGATACATGCTGGTTTAGACATATTTAAACACTTTATTTCAAAAATGAACTTTTCTTTTTGATATTTAAGAAAGTAATCTCCTAAACCATAAAAGATATTTGTCAAGTTCACATTTCAAAAGTTAGTCATAACAGATAATATTCAACAATCATAAACCAAATAAATGAGATGTTGGTAGTAGCTTATTCCTCAGAGCCTGGGTGAAGTTTCTGTGCCTCTTAACTTCTCGTACTTCCTCCATAGTGTGCCTGATTTTTTAACCTATTTTTCCCATCTTCTCTAACTGCTCATAATAAAAAATTTTAAGCTATATGAATTTTTAATGACTTACCAAAATTATGTCTTCCTTGCTAAAGTGAAAAGATAGCGAGTTGAACTTCTTAGTGTTTTTCTGTTCCAAGGGTTTAAAAATAAAAGTTAACTGTGCACCTGTGTAGAGTTTGAAATTGCTGATATATTCACACACAAATACACACCATATACATTACAGAGTTTCTCAGCTGTCACAGAACATATGGTTAAGTCCTTTTTAAAATCTCAAGGCATTTAAATTTTCTTAAAGATTTTTAGGACTAGTAGCATATATAGACCTGGAGTCAGAAAGATGTGGGTTTATATCTTGGCTCTGCAATTTAACCTCTGTGAGCCTTAGTTATTTCATTTGTAACCTGGGTGTAATGTTGCATATCCTATAAGGTTGTTATGAAGATTAAACAAGATCATGTAAATTTAATATGGCAGTTCAATAAATGGTGGAAATTATTAGTAGAGTTCAAGTGATTCGGGTTTTAGTCAAGTATATTCATTACTAGTGAGAATATAATATATAGGTTTCTTAAAACTCTTCATCTGTTACAAAATTTAAAGCAATATCTAATGTTAAGTATTTTAGAGTGATTTTGTAAGTGATATTATGATAGACCACTTTTATAGTTAGAAGTATTCTGACCAAGTTTGCCAGCAGAAGAAAGCATGACATTACAAGCTTTCTGTATCAGTCACCTATTGCCACAGTAATGCTGGGAAACAAGCACCCGCAAAACCTCAGTGGTGAACAATGCCACGTGGTAATTGGTTAGGCTGATAGAGTCCACTGGAGGTAAGGTAGGCAGCTCTACTGATCTTACCTGGCTTTGTTCACGTGTGTGGAGTCAGCTGACTCCCTGTGTTCCAGCCTCTGGCAGCGTAGCCTTAACATGTCCTGATAATAAAGGTCAAGACAGAAGAGTGAAACTACACTTGTACTAGTACAGAGTACACTCTCAAACTTACACTTGCAGTCACAGCTGCTAACATCCTGTTGGCCAAAGATCACATGTCTGAAGTTAGTATCAAGGGACAAGACAGTAAATTTCACTTCTTGATGAAAGGAACTGCAAAGTCACATTTGCAAGTAACATGGATAAAGGGAGGAATGAAGAATTGGGGCCACTAATTATGTAGATCTCTCCCAGTTTCATACATTTGTCCTTAAAAATAATGAGAACTAGATCGTCCTTAAACCTTGTTGATATTCTGTATTATTTTTATGTAGATTTAGTCCCTCTGTTTCATAAATGAAATTATCACTGGATTCAGAAACTTTACCATTTTTATAGCTGAGTGAAATACTATGTTTGGGGGGGGCTTTGTATTCTGAGTTCCTTTGCTTTATTATATTGCTATTTTTAAGAAAGAAGCTAAGTCATTCTTTTTACATATTAGCAGCTGCTTTCCTCCTAAACAGGGATTATGTGAAATGTGAAAAAAAATGTACTTAAATTAGCTTCTGTGATGAGGATTAAGAGAAGCATCCTTTTTGTGTGCTTCTGTGTATGGGGCTGTATGTGATGAAAAAGTTGGGCAATTTCTAAAGGAAGTAAGCATGGTACTTTCTGCCACACCATTTTTCTACCTGGTATCTAACTTTAAACAATTTTCTTAAAAAGTATGTCCTTTATCATGATGCCATTCACATAGTTAATTGTTTTTAGGTTAACAGTTAGGTAAAGTTGTTAAAAGTATTCCTTGAAATTTTGTTTTTCAGAAAAAGCCCGACAAGCTGCACAAATAAAGCTTTTGAGAAAACTCCAAAAGCAGGAACAGGCTCGCATTGCCAAAGAAGCTAAAAAACAACAAGGTGAGTGAGTTAAACGAAAACATAAACTTGAAGAGTGAGTACTGGGGAGTTCACAGGAGGCTTCTCTTCTTTGTTCCTTTTCTGACGATACCTGTGTTTTGGCTTTTCATCATAGCAATAATGGCTGCTGAGGAGAAGCGACAGCAAAAAGAGCAGATAAAGATTATGAAACAACAGGTATGTTCATGCACTGAACTGGTTTTATAACAGGTGATACTTTGGGAGTCGATTTACTTATGTGTATATGTACATTATTCTTATTTGATTTATGAAATAACTTTCATACTTGTTATATATCTTATTTAGAGAGTTGTCATCTACCTTTATTTAAAATTCACCTCAATTTTAAACCAAGTCTCTAAAGAAATGATACCAAACAATACAATTATGTAAGTACTTTTAGTATCCTGATAGACTGAATATAAATTAACATCTTGAACAACTTTGAAGATTTGGTCCCATTGCTTCTGAATGATTAAAAATTACCGCAAAAAAATGAGAAAGCATTATTTTCGCATATCCAGTGTTTTATCCAGTGCTCTCCTCTGTGTAGTTTTTAAAATTAAATATAGATAGATGAAATAATTTTTAACTCTTACAGAGAAAACCTACATAGCAATATACTCAACTTCCTCTAAGATGGGAATGTGTAAACTACTCTCCTATCTCCACATACTCATCTATTAAAGCAAAAAGGAAATGGGGGGAAGTACTATTCTTTTAAAAATTTTAAACTGCAAGTAGTTATTTCTGAGTCAGTTGTTATATAGACAAGCTGCTAAATAATGGCTTGGTTTGTTTGTGATGTGGTTATCTCTAATAATGTAATGAATACATTTATTTAAATACTTTCAGTATTGACTAAAGTAGTATGATTAGAGTTGAAGTAGAATTGAGAGAGAATTTAGAATTTGTAGTCACGCATGCAGATCATTTGTAGAGTTAAATATCGGCTTTCCTATTTAATAATTTATGACCTTAGATGAATTAGTTAACCTCTCAGCCTTGATTTCCTCCACTGTAAAAGAAAAACAATTGTATTATGTGAACATTGAATGAACGTAAAGTGCCTGCCACAGTGACTGGCACAAAGCAAATGCTTGCTTTCTGAAAGATAGATACAAAACATCAAAAATATACTCTCTTACTATAATATAATGTAAACCTGAATTCTTTCCTTAGTTTGTTAATTGTAACTGCTAAAGAAACTGTAAGGTTGACTTTAAAATATATAGTGTGATGAATATATTTATTAAAATACTGTAAATATTTACTGCCTACTACAGTATATGTGAAAATAAGTTCATTTGAAGCTGAAATACTGTTGTTTCTGTTACAGTTTTTAATAGTTTATCCTATTTCCTAATGGCTTGAGACCAGTTGTATCCCATTAGCATTTTAAATTAAGCTTTGTGCGACCTAAGCCTACATAGTGTGCTACTCATCAAAAAAAAAATTGATTTTCCAAGGTTCCAGGAGCAGTAATACAAGTGAACTGATATTAGACGTTGATCAAGATGCTTGTCTGAGACTAGTCTTAGATTACCATCTGACTTACTCCTAATTGCCAGCAAAGTAAATTAAAGTCGTGCAGAGTCTATTTTAAAGTTTGAAGTAGATCTAGAATAAAATAATTAAAATAATAGCATGTGTTTCTCATCCTCGAGATTATTTTTTCCACCTAGTAGGCCAAAAATACCACCCGACAGTCCTCAAGGCAGTTTTCCGGAAGTATACAGAGGCATTATTATGAAAAAGGAGCAAAGGCATTGGAAACTGACCAGGGCTCTGCATTCACTGGTTGACTATAGGCAAAATATTTATTTTCTAGGAGCTTCAATTTTCTGTTAGGTGAAAAGAAGATAATTTCAACTCCTGTGTTGTTATTTTTTAAAATGATCAATTAGCTATTTTATATAAAATGCCCAGTTCATTGGATGGATACTCAGTATTATAAGGTGAACACGTAATAATTTATAAATAATGTTTATTTCTGATATTCCTAATGAAAGTACTGCCAATGTACATCTATATAAATCACTCAGACGAAAACAAAGCTCTACACTGGGTGAGTTAAGCCCAAGATTCTATACCTATTTCTGTGCTTAAGAGAATAATGAATGACTTTTGTTGACTTGATTAAAGATTAAATTCAGAGTATACTTAGGTCTCAAGTTCTAATCTAAATAAATATTTCAAATGTGGATCAAGTGCAACCTTCTCTAAGACTTGGAAATAAAACAAAAGATACACTTGTATTTTTATTTTTGGTGAGCTATAATATAATATTCAAATCATAGAATGTGATCAGTCTTCTAAAATCACAACAGAAATTCCAGAAATCTCATTATCCTGCAGTGGATCCCTGCAGGGAATCAATAACATCAATGCAAAAAAGAAATAAAAATGTATTAAAGTATAGCTTCAAAAGGTACAACTAGCATCTGGAAATAGGGGTGGGTATAGTAATATACAGTAGTATAAAATGTGTTGGCTCTGAAAATCCTAGGACAGCTGCAATTTACAAGTAGGGCAATTTAGGTGTATTTTTTTAAAACTATCCTCATCAGTGCCAATTTGGGACTTTCAAAGGGATTTATGAATTTAAAATTGTTAACGATGTGCTTATAGCATATGCAATGATTTTTTAAAATGAAAATGTAAAGTTATCAAAATTTAGATTGCTGAATTCAAACAATAACTAGTACATTACATTTAGATAATGTGAGCACCACTTATAAGTTATTACAAATTATTTCTGTATTTGGCTTACTGTAGTTATTGAAAGTAATGTCATTTATCATGTTACGGCAATTGTTAATACTTCGTACAATCGTGATGTACTGTGCACTTTTTTAAGCATTTTTAATTGTGACAGTGAGAAAAAGAGCAAGTGCCTCCCCTATTTTATGCAAGAGTAGTTCTATTTGTTCAAGTTCATGCAATGAGTGACAGTAACTCAGGACTAGCCTTAGGTGTCCTGATTTCCTGATAGACTGTTTTATCCTACTTGTCTGTCCAATATTTATTTCCAAATGAGTATTACTTGTACTTGCAAATATTTATAAAGACTTGAGTTTAATCAGCTTGGTTTATGTTGTTTCTATATACTTATTTAGCATTTGTATTTTAAAATTGTTTTGAGACATTTTATAAAGTCATACCAATTTAAGACAGGTGGCATATATATAATGTCAAAGTAAATAATTAAAATTTATATCCAGCATGGGCAACCTTTGGTAAATCTGTACTTATATCTTTAATTATTTGATTCCACTTAAATACCTTCCACCTAGATATTTAGTTTATTATCTTAAATTGTCATAATTTTTCCTACAGGAAAGAATTAAGAGAATAGAACAAATAAGAATGGAAAAATAACTTCGAGCCCAGCAAATTCTAGAGGTAGAATTCTTATATTTGATATGATTAAAGTAATATAGTCATGTATTTTAAAGTCTGAAAAATGAAAATTTTATCAGTATGTTCTCTCACTAATTCAAATTAACATGTCCATCACAAATTATCTGTAAACGTAATGCGTAGAATTACTTAGCAAGTTTATCTAATCCTAATAGTAAGAATCCAAGAAATAAGTAAAGGAAAAAAAACAAAGGGGAAACCTCTCAATAGCCAATATAGTCATAAAGATCATATGCTAAAACTCATGTTCTTTACTTTTCAAAATGTGATTAAGTCTTATAGTCAGATACCTGCTTTTCATTTAGAAATACAACATGACAGAAGTAAAAGTAAATGTTAAATGTGGAAACAGTTTAACCAGGTTTGTTTTCTGAGTTCTGACAGAACTGGGCTGACAGAATAGGGCTCAAGGACATGCTGGCAACAGCAAAAGGAATAGCTAAAAGACAGCAAGGGAAAATAGGATAAACAGAAACTCCAAAGCCTAGCAACATCTGTAATCTTGTAGTTAAATAGGAAGCAATTTTCAATACCTTAATGGCCAAAAGGCATTTCTGTTATCAAACTGTGTAGTATAGTAACTGATGTCAAGAATAATTGCCCAAGTCTTCAAGAAAAAGCCAAATTATGTTAAGTGTACTGTGTCTAAGCTGTAAATATATATGTCTCAAAATTATCCAAAGTACTTTTGTCCAAAATAAACTTTTTAATGTTGAAAATTATTATAACCCAAACCCTTAGCTGTTCAGGAAACTGTTGCCATAAAAATTGGCTTATTCCCTGAGGAATGTGGTTAGCTGAGGTTTTCACAGTTACAGGTTTTTTCCTTCTAAAAATATATACACATATTCCCTTACCCATTTCAAATTAATTTTAAAACCCTCCAAATTGAAAATATTAAAGTACATTGGCAATTACTACTAGATAATTATGAAGCTACTAGTTAATGACTTTAAGATTATAAAGCTCAAATTTGATAGCATGAGCTTGATATTCAGAATGTGCTTCATTAAAGGTTATGTTTCCATTATATTAGGAAAAAAAAACCTTGAATTTAACCACAGTAGGTTAAATCAGGTTTAATGTTTCATTTAAGTTATTTAAGTAATGGATTTATCTCAAATTTTAAGTATTACAAAAGAAACTTCAAATAAAGTAGACACGTGCATTTTTAAATGTTACTTATTTGTCCTTTAACCTTTATTGTTAAAATCTATCCCGTTTTCTTAACTTTCTACAGTGATCATGTTTTACTTTCAAAAATCAGAGAAAAAGCAAAAAATGCCATAACATCATTTTTTCTGTGATTAAGTTTTAAGGTAAAATAACACTCAAATTATTTCAGACTTTTTACAGAGTTTGAAGAAGAAAACCTGACATACTCTTACGAATTTAAGAATTTTTTGTATATCTTAATTGTAATCTATACATTAGAAATGAAATTAGTATGTTAAATGTAACAAACTGAGGGGAAATCTGTAATTGTCTACATACATGTTACATACTGTTTTGTACCTTGCGAGGCATGGAGCTCCATTTTCAAGTCTGAGGTTATTTTCAGGTTGTAGTGGTGCTGTTGCATGACTTTGAGACCTATTTTATATGCACAGGCTAAAAGGATAAAGAAGGAAGAAGCTGCAAATGCCAAATTATTGGAGGCTGAGAAACGAAAACAGGTAAATTTAGAGGACAGTCAGAGTTTTTACTTTTTTAAATTTATTTTGTTATCCTTAATCCACAATGACATGAAGAACATTATGTTTACTAGGCTCCCCCCTTCACCAAGTCCCTCCCCCCCTACAAACCCCATTACAGTCACTGTCCATCAGTGTAGTAAGATGTTGTAGAATCACTACTTGTCTTCTCAGCGTTTTACAGCCCTCTCCGTGCCCCCACCCCACATTATACATGCTAATCGTAAGGCTCCCTTTCTGTTTCCCCCCCTTATCCCTCCCTTCCCACCCATCCTCCCCAGTCCCTTGCCCTTTGGTAACTGTGAGTCCATTCTTGGGTTCTGTGATTCTGCTGCTGTTTTGTTCCTTCAGTTTTTCTTTGTTCTTAAACTCCACATATGAGTGAAATCATTTGGTACTTGTCTGTCTCCACCCGGCTTATTTCACTGAGCATAATACCCTCTAGCTCCATCCATTTTCTTGCAAATGGTAGGATTTGTTTTCTTCTTATGGCTGAATAATATTCCACTGTGTATATATACCACCTCTTCTTTATGCATTCATCTACTGATGGACACTTAGGTTGCTTCCATTTCTTGGCTATTGTAAATAGTGCTGTGATAAACATAGGGGTGCATATGTCTTTTTCAAACTGGGCTGCTGCATTCTTAGGGTAAATTCCAAGAAATGAAATTCCTGGGTCAAATGGTATTTCCATTTTGAGCTTTTTGAGGAACGTCCATACTGCTTTCCAAAATGGTTGAACCAATTTACTTCCCCACCAGCAGTGTAGGAGTGTTCCCCTTTCTCCACAACCTCACCAACATTTGTTGTTTGTCTTTTGGATGGTGACAATCCTTACTGGTGTGAGGTGATATCTCACTGTGGTTTTAATTTGCATTTCTCTGATGACTAGCAATGTGGAGCATCTTTTCATGTGTCTGTTGGCCATCTGAATTTCTTCTTTGGAGAACTGTCTGTTCAGTTCCTCTGCCCATTTTGTAGTTAGATTATTTGCTTTTTGTTTGTTGAAGTGCTTGAACTATTTATATGTTTTGGATGTCAACCCTTTATTGGCTCTGTCATTTATGAATATATTCTCCCATACTCTAGGGTACCTTTTTGTTCCATTGATGGTGTTCTTTGCTGTACAGAAGCTTTTCAGCTTGATATAGTCCCAGTTGTTCATTTTTGCTTTTGTTCCCCTTGCCTTGGGAGATACGTTCATGAGGACGTCGCTCATGTTTATGTCCAAGAGACTTTTGCCATTGTTTTTTTCTAAGAGTTTTATGGTCTCGTGACTTACATTCAGGTCTTTGATCCATTTTGAATCAGCGTTTTTACTTTTTAAAAATAACGGTGTGATGGTATACCAGTATCAATTATATTAAAAATAAAAACTCAAAATGACTATATGAAATAATGTTTAGCACAGATATATGTATGTAATGTGTACTTTTATTGTATGTGTATATTTGTTTCTTTATATATTGGTTTTTTGTGATGTCTTTAGCTCTTTAAGTAGCAGATCCCCCAACTCAGAAATGCAAAGTGTTGGATAATGCTTTGTACTGTGTAGTGTTTCTCGAGCAGAATGATCTCCCTAAAGCTATTTTGTGTTGTTTATAAGTTTCAAATGGCATCTGAAATCTGATTATGTCCTTAGATTATAACTTTCTCTTTGTTTCAATATTAAAAAGTGAAGCCTATAGAAACAAAAACCTAACTTTATCAGTTATTTACCAGTAATAAAAAATAGTTACTGTTAATTACTAGGATGTTGTTTGAGGGTCTTTTGAGGGGTTAAAAATTGGTTTCATGACTCTGTGATTTCTATTTCATAATGTGCCAACTCTTTCTACCAGGAGTTGGAGTGGCATAGACTAGATGTGGTTTGGGTATGTTTATTTTTGCATATCTAACACTGCATTGTAATTTGGTTGTGATATGGTTGTAATAGCAGTCTATAAAGTGTAGCACTGGCTGCTGTCATATTACATACTGCTGCATGGCTTTTTTTACTGAATTGTGTAAGCCTTATTGAAGGCCGCTGTCCAAAAATTTGTGTTACTGATGTCAAAATGACAGTTGGATAACTACAATTAGATAAAATTATGACCCATATTCTCTCATCTTTCCTAATGCAAAACTGTCATTGAATACAATGGGAATTTTGAGTTAGGTTGATGAGAGAATATGAAATAGGTTCTGGTTTTATACATAAATTTTAGAAGTGATATTAGAAATATCCCTTTGGGGGTACTAAAAAGAATTGATAAGATGTTACAACTTTGATTTTTAAATTTTGAAGTGAAATGAGATGATCAAACTAAGGTGGTGGTAGTGCTTATCTATTTTTGTACTGTGCCTTCTAGATACCCTTTTGGCCAACGGTGCAGCTTTTATGGCTTTAAATAGTGCATCAAATGGCAGACATCAGTAAACAGGAGTGTCCCATTTCACTGGTATTGGTATATGAACCACAGCTAGCTTAACCAAACTGGTGTAAAAGCTTTAAAAAAAAAAACCTTCCTAATTTGTTGGTGGCTTATTGGGTTTATAAAATGGCAGTGTACTTGAAATAAAAAAACTTGTTCTAAAACCATGAAGGGAAGTGATTATAAATAAATTTTTGCTTGATCTAAGAATTTAAGAGCAATACAACCTTTAGTTTAGTATGTATTTGTGGTTTTTCTAATAGCAGATGTAAGGTAATTTGACCTGTTCCAGCTAACCATAATGCCTTTTGTTCTGCCAGCTTTTGAAGGAGCATCACAAGTGACCATAGTAAATCTTGTATGCTTCTGTTTACACTGTCTGCATGTTCATTGCTTTACCTTTTTCCTTTTGATTGTTGTTATATTTGCTTTCTAAAGCTGAACGGAAACATGCACAGACTGGCCGTTCTTGTCTTATATTTAGTATTTACTGTGACTTGTCTATAAATGCTAAACATGCTATGCTGAGTTTTGTTTTGTTTTTCCATTTGAAAATCAAAGTATTAACTATGGTTCTTTTCCTAATTTTATCTGGCCTAATAGGAACAAGAGAGAAGGAGACAACATAGGATGTTTATGAAAACTATGGAAGCTCGTAAAAAAGCAGAAGTGTATGTTTCTAGGAAAATACTTACCCTGGCGTAAATTAATATTTTCTTCCTCAAGCAGTGGCTCTTCAAAATATAAATTTTTCAGAGTGTGGGTTTGTAATGATTTACTGGCTTTGATTAGCAAGCCAAAGGTTAGAAATAATAACAGAACATAAAAGAATGTAGGAAAGATTCCAATATACATGTTAATTTTTTAGCTGAAATTTTAATCATCTTTTTTGAATGTAGTGAATGACATTCATTAACTAAAAGTACCTGTTTATTACCATAACCAGAGTTACAGCATGCCTAGAAAAGTCCTTTGTGTCCTGATTCAAATGATATATCCAAGAAGGATCTAACATCCCAAATATATAAAGAACTCATAAGCCTCAGAAGCAAAAATATACAAATAACCCAGTTAAAAAGATAGAGTATCTGAATAGACATTTGTCCCAAAGAAGAAATACAAATGGCCAACAGACTTATAAAAAGATGCTTCATATCACTAATTGTCAGGGAAATTCAAATCAAAACCACAATGAGATATCACCTGACAGCAGTCAGAATGGCCACTATCCAAAAGACAAGAAATAACAAGTATTGGCAAGGATGCTGAGAAAATGAAAATCCCACTACAGCATTGGTGAATGTGTGAACTGGGGCAGCCACTGTGGAAAGCAGTATGAAGGGTCCTCAAAAAACTAAAAAGAGAAATACCATATTCTAGGAATTAACCTGAAGAAAACAAAATCTCTGATTCAAAATGATATATAGACCCAGTGTTTTATTGCCACATTACGTACATTAGCCAAGATATGGAAGCAACCAAAGTGTTCATTAATTAATGAACACATAAAGAAGTGGTACATATATGTAATGGAATATTATTCAGCCATAAAAAAGAAAGAAGTCCTGCCATATGTGACAACATAGATGAATCTAGAGGGTATTATGCTCAGTGAAATAAGCCTGGTGAAGAAAGACAAATGCCGTATGATTTCACTTATTTGTGGAGTATAAAAACAAAGCGAAACAGAAGGAACAGAATAGCAGTAGACTCACAGACACAGAGAAGTGACTCATGGTTACAGAGAGGCGGGGTTAGAGGGGTGGGGAGGAGGAGGAGGATAAAGGGGCACAAAAATTCTCAATTGCAATATACGTTGGTCACAGGGATAGTAGTACAGCATGGAGAATATGGTTAGTGATTCTGTAACATCTTTCTACATCAATAGATAGTAGCTGCACTAGAGAGGGTGAGGAGTTAATAATAAGGGTAACTGTTGAACCACTGTGTTGTACACTTGTAACCAATATAAGATTGTGTATCTTATATTGTGTATAGTACCTGTAGCACTCCATCCAGACATGCTAGGATTAAGTAGAAGGGGAGACCAAAGAGAATAGTAAGAATAAGACCATCTGAGGGAGTAAGTGCCCAGTTTGAGAGGTATGCAAAAGACCCAAAAGGTAGGACCTCCTCCACTGGTTTTTCGTATGTGACCATGTGGCCTGGGAGGAAAGTGGGGAAAAACTGTTGAAGAGAGGCGTGAAAGACCTGGTTTGAATAGAAGGTAGCAGCTGCAGGTTAAGTGAAGATAATTAAAATTAAGTCCTTAAGGAACCCATCAAGGCCCAAGAGTCCCTCTCATGGGAAAATCATATGAACCCTTTGATGGAAAGAGTGAATCAGGTACAGTGCTTCCAATAAGACCTGGAAAGGTTTATGAGAAACTAACATGGCTCTCTGCCTCTCCTGGCCTCTCTGTCCTCAGGAAAAAAGCATGAATAGTATAGAAAACTCATTCTTCAATCTGAAGTACTTAAAACTATAAACCAAGTAGCAGAGAGAGTGATAAGGGAACTAAAGGAAAATTACCCCACCTGTATTGGAGCAGTACAAGTACCTACTAGGGCTGTGCACATCAGGCATAAGTAATCAGAAATGTCAAACCAACCGTGCAAAATATTAAAGCAAAAAAAGTAAATACGTGCATATATACATAAAGTATAACTTAAGAACCTGATTCCTTGCTTTCATTCCTATTTTTCTCAGCTTTCCCTGCGCATTCTCTATAGAACAGCAAGGGTGATCTTTTCTGAAAGAAACCAGATTGCATCTTCACACTGTCCAGTGACTTCTTTGCAATTGTAACAAATTCACATTCCTCGCCATGTCATAACAGCCCCACATGCTCCAGCTTCTGCTTTCTACTCCGTCTTTACCTCATACAATTTGTCCCTTATTAATATATTCCAGTCACTTTGTATTTTTGTTATTCCTGGACAAAGGGTCTTTACCTTGCTGTTCTTCCATCAAATACTCAAGAGGTTCAGTCATAACAAATGTTAACTTGTCAAAAGGGTCTTCCCAGAACACCTGATTTTGCCTTTTCTTATGCCCTACCTCCCGAACTCCATTCCATCATTTTACTCATATATTCCTTATGGTCTAACTCTTCCCAGAATGAAAGATCTATAAGGCAGGAATCTTGTCTGTCTTATCTACCATGGTATCACCAGTGTCTGGATTACAGCCGAGTATATAATAGGTGCTTAGAAAATTAGAGCTGAGTGAATGCATGAATGAATGAGTTGAAGTGGCAAAGTGCGAAGAAAACAAAATCATGGCCCAGCCGCGCTCGCGCAAGCTGCGCTATCTTGTGGCACAACTCTGTGCCCTTGTGCTCTGGCAGCCCTGCTGCTCCTGCTGGGCTGAGAACCGGCTCGAGGAATGGGGTCGGCTCCGGGGCCGGACTGGCAGAGGCTGCGGCCGCCAGGACCGAAGACCATGGCAGAGAAGAGGCAGCTATTTGTAGAAATGTGTGCTCAGAATTTTGATGTGATACGACTGTCAACTTACAGAACAGCTTGCAAATTAAATGGTTTGTACAAAAACGATGCAACCTCCATCTTGTTACTTGAAACATGATTGAATCCTTCGAGGCAGTGGTCTGAATATACTGGACCATACCACTGAGATCAGTGTGACCTGCCTTGAAACGGTCATCTCATCCATCTACTAGGAGATGAACAAGCACCTGTCTTCTACTCACTATGTTAATTTTCAAGGTTCATTGATATATCATCATAGTTCATAAATATTTTCCTAAGTGTAAGAAAGAATAGTCTTTAGCCTAGTGAATAAAAAAGGCTTATTGCCTAGTATAATTCAAATAATAGTATGAGTATATGTTTTCATTATTGGAATTTTAGACTGGAAATTTAGACTAAGCACCATGATAAGTACCTCTAATCTCCTGTTTTGTTTATACAAAATCTCAAACCTTACTAGTCACAAATATGTAAGCACTTTACTCATAACTGAATAATTAACCACAGTAATTGCGAAACAGTCTTTTGTATGCCTCCCCAAGGATCAATATACTACAAAGGTTGTTAAATATGCATCTACCATGATAGAATGACTGTGTCAGTGCTTCAGGAGGCAAAACCGTAAAATAGAAGAGAGTAGGTCAGATTTCAGAAGTCATCTAATAAATAATTGAAAAGCAGAAAAAATGTATAACCCCTCCCAATGATTCAAGTCATGAGAATATTTTATAATCCTATATTTATACTAATCAGTGAAGAATAAAAATAAATGTAGGATTTTACATGTACAGTTTGGTTTAAGCAATCCTATTTTTCAGTTGAAGACAATGTACATATGCGACATGCTTGTATATTATACTAACACAATGTATTTATAATGTACTCAATCTCAGTGTTAAAGTTCAGTTGCCTTTAAAAACAAACGTGAAGTGATTTTATATTAACTATACAATAAAATGTTAAATATGTAACAGTTCATTTTGGAAAGAATTGTTACCAATTTAGGGTACTAAAGTATCTGACTCAAGATTATTAACAATTGTGATTTTAATTTAGAAAACATTTATGCAACAGTAGCTATTCTACAAAGTTTTTAAAGATATTGAATCTAAAGTAAGTATAGATTTTTAAGTAATACTTTGGTGGATTTTTAAGAAAATATGACAAATATTAAATATACTTATAAAGTAAAACTTTTATTAAAATGTAAAATGTAAGGGTTTCTTCAATCATATGATTCATAGTTTTTTCATTTGTTAATTTTCATAATATTTTAATGTAATAGTAGGCCTTTTTAAAAATATTACCCTGGTTGTTTTACCCATGCTAACTCAATACATGACCATAAACAGAATCATTTTTACTCTTTATACTTGTCTCCTATAAATAGCTTATATTATTAATCTTATTTATACTTGCATTCTTCCTACACCCTGAGTTAAATCCATGTGTCTTAAATTATATTTATGTCTTTGAAATTTAAGTACAAGTTGCTGTCAAAAGAAATGTATTCTCCTAATTATGCCCAGAACAAACACCTAAGACTCTTAAAATGCAAAAAAGTACAGGCATCTTTGCAACAAGTTCTCTTAAAAATGGCCTGTTTTGTGATCTCATATAAGTTGTAAAACTTTACAGTAACAGGTCATTCTACTGTATTCTTATTTGGTTTTAAAACTTTTATAATTCTAAAATAGAATAAATTTATTTCATACATTTGTTATTATACTGTAGATTTCTGGAAATACTTCCATTTTTGCTTTTAGAGTCCCTAAAATAAACCTTTTATGGGAGTAGAAAACTAGTTTTTAAGTTTTCACTCTGTCTATTTGGGGCTGTTTCATATAATCTAAATTTAAAGCATTGGCTATCAAAAGATGTTCCAACTTTGAAATCAAATTCAAATGACTTCTTAACTAATAAAAAGTAATATTTTATACAGAAAATTCCATTACTATAATTAAGATGATAAAAATGTATATTATTACAAATGATTTACATTTCAAAAATCCAAATTTATTTCAAGAATTTCTACCTCTAGAAACTATGGGGGAGGTGAGGTGAATGCCAAAAAAAAATGGGAGGAGGCATACTTATTTGCTTGTAATTATTTACAGTCAATCTAAAAATAAAAATAGTCAAGAGCTATATTTTGTAGTCATTTGAGGGAATTCTAAGTTATTGCCCTAACATTAACCAATATTAATTTAAAATATGTCTCAACATTCCTTTTATATCATGATAGGTTTAATTAGCTTTACCTCTGGTAGATCAAAGGCCTAATGTGAACTAACCTTAAAAAATCACAATGGGGGCGGAGCCAGGATGGCGGCATGAGTAGAGCAGCGGAACTCTCCTTCCAAAACCACAAAGAATTATGAAAATATAACAAAGACAACTCTTCCTAAAATAGAGACCAGAGAACACAGGAAAACATCCAGACCACATCCACACCTGTGAGAACCCAGCGCCTTGCGAAGGGGGTAAGATACAGGCCCCGGCCCTGGAGGGACCCGAGCGCCCCTCCCCCAGCTCCTGGTGGGCGGAAAGAAACCGGAGTGGTTTTTTTTTTTTTTT